CCCGCCCCCAGCCCGCCCCCGGCCGGCTCGCCGCGCAGCTCACCTCGGGCCGAGCCGCTGCTTCCGCGGGGGCCTGGGGCGTGGTCCGGGCCCTGTCCTGGGGGTGGGGCCACGTCCTGGGCCGCAGCCCGAGCGGCGCGACTCACCCGCGCGCCGCCACCCCGCCACCCCGCCTCGTCTCCCGGGGCACCCTAGCCCCAGACGGGGGCCCGCCCTCCATCCCTCGCGGGCAGCGTTTCTAGGCGAGAGCCGTTTTGGGAGCTGGTGCTCCGCAGGCAAAACCTAACTCGGGCACTTGTATTACAAAGAAGGGGAGGCCCGACCGTCAGGGCTTCTCTACAGCACCCCGACTCTGCCCGTGAGAACCATCACTGACGGGGAAAGGTCTTCAGGAGGACCTTGGTAAGGTTTTCAAACACGCGGAACAAGTCACACTGTGTTTCAAAAAGCCCGGGGGGCGGCGCTTTACGCCTTGCTCTCGGCCCGCGTAGGCCACCTCCTGGGGCGCGCGCGCGCCTGGAGCTCGTGTGTCAGCTCTCCCGCTTGGACGGGCTGCGGTGATCCGTTCAAGGGCGTCCCTCACGGACCTGTACGCTCGTTAGATCAGGGATGATGGGTGCGTTCTCATCACACCGGCATCCGTCACTTCGACCACTGCTTACCGACCACCTACTGAGTGCCAGGCGCTATGGTGGGCGCTCGGGCTGCAGGCCAAGCAGAGCAACGTCTCAGGCCTCATATGGAGCTCGCAGTCCAGTGTGAGTAAATTCATAGCATTTAGAATGTGGAAAGCACAAAGGTGGGGAGGAGGGTGGATGATGCAGGATAAAAGCGAGTCAGGAGTGAGTGCTGGAGGGGCAGGACGGAGGTCACTTCCCCAGTGAGAGCAGGTCTCTTGAGGCTGAGGCCCAGAGGCTGCGGCAGGCGAGGGAGACGGGTTGGAGTGTTCAGTTGCACAAACATTGGAGAGTGCCCACTGCAGACCTAGCATGATCTCTGTGGCCACCAGGGGACAGCACAGTATGGGTAGGGGATTAGGGACCTGGGAGGTGGGGAATCGGTCCTTTGAGGGGAATAAGGCGAAGGGTTATTCAATTTGGCAAGAATATTTGCCTGGGCCAGTCCTCCCTTGGGCAGCTTGCTGGGCACCAACAGACAAGGGGGTCAGGGCCACCACTGTGGGGCGCCAGGGGTCCCAAGTGGATTAGCAGAGGTGGGCCAAAGCAGAGCCCCCCGCCCCCACCCCCAGAGCAGGTGCAAGTTGTCAGGTTGTCATTAAGCGAAGGCAGCAGAGCAGCTGTCTTCCACCTCGATGCAGGGAGGTGAGTGGAGCTGGGAACTGGGTTTCTGAGTTTCTTGCAGAAGCTTCTGAAGGCTGAGGGCGGTTGAGGGTGGAGGGGCCTCTGGATGCAAGTGTTCCAGCCAACTTCCACAGGATTTTGTTTGTTTTCTTCAGGCAAATACCCAGAAATGAAATTAAAGGATCATTTGGTATTTTTAACTCTCTGAGGAACCTCCCTACTGTTCTCCAGTTACATCCCCGCCCACAGTGCGTGAGTGTTCCCTTTTCCCCACATCCTCACCAATAGATCTTACCCATTCTGACAGGCATGAGGTGGCCTCTCGTTGTGGTTTTGATTTGCGTTTCCCTGACGAGTGATGGTGAGTGTTTTTCATGTGTCTGCTGGATAGCTGGTGTCTTCTTAGGAGAAATGTCTGTTCAGGTCCTCTGCTCATTTTTAACCAGATTGTTTTGGGTTTTTTGTTTTTTGGTGTTGTGTTGTAAGAGTTCTTTATGTTTTTTTGGATTTTAACCCCTTATCAGATATATCATTTGCAAATATCTTCTCCCAATCAGTAGTTTGCCTTCTCATTTTGTTGATGGTTTCCTTTGCTATAAAACGATTTTTGTCACAGGAGCAGTATGTGGTCTTTGTAGAAAAACCAGAAGATACAGATAAGAAAATGAAAAGCCCTAATATGCCGCCTTCCAGACACAAAGGCTCTGACATCTCTGGATATGCTCCTACTTCTCTGAATGCACAACACACGTTTTCTTAATAAAAAACGAGATATTAGACATGGTAGGCAGGATAATAACCAAAGATGACCATGTCCTGATCCCTACCTTATGTGGCAAAGGGGTCTTTGCAGATGTGACTGATTTAAAGGTTTTGAGATGGAGAGACTGTCCTGCAATACTTGGATAGGCCCAAAGTAATCATGAGGGTCTGTGTAAGAGGGACGCAAAAGGGTAAAAATGAGAGATGTGACAATGGAAGCAGAGGTTGGAGTGGCTGTGTTTTGAACAGGGAAGAAGGCAGCCTCTAGAAGCTGGAAAAGGCCAAGAAGCAGATTCTCCCCTGCAACCCTCTGGAAGGAACCAGGCCGGTGGATAGTTCGATTTAACCCCTAGGGCCCATTTCCCACTTCCAATTTTAAGAGCTGTAAAATAAAAAAATCTGTGGCAATGTGTTACAGCAGCAGTAGGAAATTAAAGCATTATGGAGCTCCTGTATTTTTAAGAGTACTTGTGTATACCCTGTATACGCAAACATACAGGTACACTAATCAGTATGTAATACAATCTTTTAATGACCACATTGTGCAACTGAATGTATCCAGTTCGCTCAACCAGTATCTACAGGCTGACATTGACTGTTTTCAGGTTTTTCAGGCTTTGCGGCATATTTTCCTACCTGGTTACCTTCCTGGCACACCATCCAAGAGGGTGGCTTGCCTGGTTGTGAGGTCCTTCCAACACACTGCCCACCTGGCGACCTGAAACGCTGCAGAAGTCCATTGGCTTTCCCCACACTCGCAAGTCTCCACACCCGAGTGCCAATGATGCCAGCCCAATAATGCAAAGTGCCTAGACGCCCTTTTTAAATTTCAGCCAATCCTCTGACAACCCCGACCCCTCCGAGGTGCCGTCCCATTTACGTTTTGTCTTCCCCACGTGAGCCTTCCAAACAGCTCTCCCCAGGGTTGTCGGGTGACTTGACACGGGCAGAGATGCCGGGCGGGGAGCTGGCCAGGCCCAGTATCCTGCGGGGTGACCCGGGCAACTCCCCTCTGCCAGGGCCGTCCTCCTTGGAGGGGCGGTTCTTTGGGGAACAAGGTCCAGGATTACTCCGGGGAAAATGTCGGCTGAGCCAGTCCCTGCTTGTGTAGCTTGCTGGGCGCCAAAAGACCAGAGATCAAGTCGGACCCCAACAAGGAAAGGATAGAACTACCAAGACTCCGACCGCACAAGCGCACACCCATCGCCCCAGAGCAGGGACTCCCAGCGTGCCCCGGGAAGTGGGCCGGCGGCAAGGGCGCACGCGCGGAGGGCGCACACGGATGCCCTGACGTCATCGGGACGCGCGGACGCCCGCGGGGCCCCGCCCCGCCCCCCAGTCCAGACGGCTCCCCCCACGACCCCGTCCCCCCCCCAGGACCCCCGGCTCCAGCACCCAGCCCCCCAGTGTCGCTTCAATAGCGCACGTCTCTCCCGGGCAGCATGGCCGCAGCAGGGCCCGGCGCGAATCCACAGTCGACCCAAGGCCGGCGCTGGTAAGAGCTGACCCCGGGCGCGGACCCTTGCAGTGACTGACCTCCAGACGACGGACTGGGAGGCGGCCCACTTCCGACGGTGGGGGGCCTGGCCGGGGCGCCGCGTAGCTGCCGCGTCGGGACCGATGGTGGGGCGGGGTCTAGGCGGAGGGGCGGGACCTAGGCGGTAGGGGGCCGGGCCTAGACGGCCTCACTAGTGCCGGCGGGGCGGGGCTTCGTGTGGGGCGGGGCCCTGTCGGCGGGGGCGGGGCCTCGCATGAGGCGGGGCCCGGGCAGCTTTTCTCCCAGGCGGAGCACCTGGTCTCCGAGGTCTCACGTGGCTGCAGGGCGGAATAGGTGGTCCCGGCTCGACCTTCACGGCTCCCCGCCCGGGGCAGAAGGCGCGTGTCGTGGCGTGTCTCGGACGCCGGGTCCAGGCAGTGACATTAACGTGATGGGGCTGGGGGCTCGGTTCGTAGGTTGTGTACGGCGGTGCTCTGCGGAGCATCGACCACGCGTTAGAGCTGGAGAGTAAACGCGAGTAGAGAGACAGAAAAGATGATTTTGTAGGAAAGAGTGTTATTCACAAGGCGACGTTTGTAATCTGTGCGCAGTGTTTCATTTGTCTAACCCTGTCAAGAGCTGTTCTAATTCTGTGCCCCACTCAAGTGCATTCATTCAATAAATGTTTATTATATAACCCCTTGTGCCCGGCTGTGCTGTAGGTGCTGAGGGTTGGACATCGAGCAGACCAGGCAGAAATCCCTGGTGGAGGGAACCGTGGGAGCCGAGGCCCGGCCTGGGAGGGTTCCCTACGGGACTACCGGTTGATGAGGGGCGTGGCCAGGTGTCCACAGACTGAAACAAGTGGCGCTCAACCGGGGGCATAAAATTGAAAGCTGAGAGTTTTACGGAGGAGGGGAAGAAAGGTCTGGAAGCAGCAGTCAGGAGCAAGGAGGACAGGGACCCGCCCTCCAGGAGAGAAAGCAGCTGTGCTTGACAGGCTGGTAGGGGAAGCCGTCTCCGGAGGCTCCCGGAGCAAGAGGGATGGGAGGGTGCTCAGGAAAAAACTGGCTTTTCTCGAGAACTTAACTCCTTAAGCGCCAGAATTTTATTTTAACAGTTCTAATATAAATTGATTATTTAATTATACTACGCACTTTCCTGTTCTACAGACATAGCATACTGACCTTGATGAACTTTTCTAAAATTAGTTTCGGCAAACTTTGGGAGACCTTCTGTGAGCCAGCACCTCTGCAGGGGCCTGGGAGGAAGGAGGGGTAGGCAAGGCCAAGGCCTGCCACCTGGAGCCACACGTGGGGCAGCAGTGAAGGCCTCAGGGGTCACAGATGCCCTACAGGTATTACAAAGCTGGGTGGATTGGAGGAGGGAGAAGAAATCTGGGCAGTTGTTTTTGCCGAAACATGGTGATACTCACGTGATATCTTAAGATGACGTGCTGGTGCCAGATGTACCCGTCTTGTTGTCTCTGTTTTAGTTCATTTCTGTGTTTATTGGGAAATAATAGTCTAAGACTGTTGGAATTGGGCCTAAAGTGAGTACATGTCTGAGCGGGGATCAGAAATGTTCTCACAGGGGGGCGCCTGGGTGGCGCAGTCGGTTAAGCGTCCGACTTCAGCCAGGTCACGGTCTCGCGGTCCGCGAGTTCGAGCCCCGCATCGGGCTCTGGCCTGATGGCTCAGAGCCTGGAGCCTGTTTCCGATTCTGTGTCTCCCTCTCTCTCTGCCCCTCCCCCGTTCATGCTCTGTCTCTCTCTGTCCCAAAAATAAATAAACGTTGAAAAAAAAAAAAAAAAGAAATGTTCTCACAGGAATAGACATCACGAACTTTAGTCCATAAATGTTACAACTTACGTTTCGGGTGCTTATCCATGAATAAGTTGTGGACTAGTCCCCATTTCTCAGAATTGACATTTTGGCAGATGAGGTTTGCAAATAAGGGAACTATGTGTCAGAGTTGATCTTTGGCATTTTATTAAACTGCCCCACTGGTTGTCTTCAAAGGAGATGGTTGAGCCCAGGGCCTGGAACCAGCTGACCTGGGTGTGACCTTGCCCCGTGGTGACCACGGGCAGACACTGTGCACCTCTAAGCTTGGTCATTTTCACGTGGGCACTAGTGCCACCAGCTACCTCCCTCCAGGTGGCGCGGGTTCCGTGACGTAATGCAGGTCAGGGCACACACGCGTGGGCTCTAAACATTGCTTATGCGAGTGTGCAATGCAGAAACAGGGCCCTTTAGCTGGACTCTGGGTGCGAGGTTTCAACTTCATCCCAGGACACCGGACCGGCTCTCCCAGGCTGACTGTGGGAGTGGCTCCCTTGCCTACCACAAGAGTCACATTTTTGGAAAGCTGCTAAAATGGTCTACTTTCATTTTATTCTTTTCTGTGCCATAACCTCTTAGATTTGTTTCCTGAAATTCTTGTAAGGATAAAGAAAACTGTTTAAAACAAGGGTTTGGCCCTGTTTGGTCCCCTTTGTGACATCCATGCGGATGTGAGGACTTGGCTGCTGTGAGGACCAGTGAAGCTGAACTCGAAGGTCACCACCGCACGTGCGTCCCAGACAAAGGGGGCCACGTGGGATTCACCGGGACTTAGGTCTTTATTTTTGAACTCACCTGATTCTCCCAGCTAAGTCTTTATCTTCGTTCTTAAACTGAGTTCAGCTGCCACGGGATCTTTGCTGCATAGAGGCACCCCGGCTGCAGTTTCGTATCATCCCTCCTGGAGGTGACCACTCTCGTCCGCTTCCGGCGTGCACTGTCTTCTCGATCCAGCCCCAGACAGGCGTCCGATGGACATGAGTTCTCGGCCCCTTCCCACCTGCTCCCACCCTTATGCCTCTGTCCCCACCAGACTCCATGTTTCCTGAAGTAGAAAGCCTTTGGATTCTTCTTGCCACTTCCTCGAGCCCGTTGCAGGGTCCCGACATAGAGGGTCTCACACACACAGCATCACTGTGGTGGTCGGTCAGGGGACCTCATGAAGCCATGGATCCCCCCAACTCAGGATGGGAAAGAGGAAATGGAGGCGGAGACAAGTGTGGCACCCTGGTTGGGTGCCTGGTTGGGGTTGGAGCCTGTGGCACTCTCCACTGGCTTCCCCTTGGTGCCCTGGTGGGCTTCTGGGGCACAGCCCCATCCTCTTGGAACCCCTACCATCCCTTCAAATCCCCCTACTTCCCTGGGCCCCCCCTCATCCCCTGGGAGCCATCCTATCCCCCCCAGAGCCCTGCTTGTTCCCCAGGAGCTACTCCTCCCTCTGGGAGCCCCCTGTCCTTCTGGAGCCCCACCTCATCCCCCTAGGAACCCCCTATCCCTCTGGAGCCCCCCAGTTCCCCCAAAGTAACCTGTCCCCTGGGAGCCCCCAGGGTCCAGTAAGGGTAGAAGTGGGACAGTCGGGCCTGCAAGTTGTACAGACTGCCTCTCAGCCCCTGACACACAGCCCAGCTTGGCTCTGTCTGAGAGCAGGGGACCCCTCCGGAGCAAAGGTCATGGTGGTCTGGACCGGGATGTCCAGTGGGCTTTTGGAGGCACAGGTGAGTGACAGTGGTGAAGGGCTGGCAGTCAGGGCGAGAGGAAGGGGCACTCCGGGTGTCAGCTGTGGTAGCTAAGAGCATTGTCGGGCCGTTTACCGAGTGGGAGGGCCAAGCAAAGCCACCTTGAGGTGGGGTAGAGTTACTTCAGGCGTGGTGATTTGGGGATGCCCACGAGACACCCAGAGATTTAGCCGACTGGCCTTTGAGACAGCTGGGTAGAGACTGACCACGACCTGGTGCGTATTTAACCCTGTGGGGAGCAGGCCCAGAGCTGACTCCTGGACGGGCCTGTCCTTCACTGTCAGCCAGAAGGGAAAGCTCATCATGGGGGCCGGGGCCAGTTGCTCGTGGCTCAGGGAGGCCAGGCGAGAGTGTCGGTTTGGCCTGAAGCCAGTGGGGCTCGGTACCCCCTGGGGCCCCAGAATAGACCCAGAATGGCTCTGTTGTCACATGTTGTGAACTTTGTCAAATTAAAGCATTTTGATTGGCCTCTTTCCACTCCGGCATCTCCTCTGTTACGCTCCCCCTCTGGCCAGGAAAGCCAAGTCAGGAATATGCCGTCTAAAGTGCATTTGGACAGGGGCACCCGGGTGGCTCAGTCGGTTGGGCATCCGACTTCGGCTCAGGTCATGATCTCGCCGTCTGTGAGTTTGAGCCCCGCATCGGGCTCTGTTCTGACAGCTCGGAGCCCGGAACCTGCTTCGGATTCTGTGTCTCCATCTCCCTCTGCCCCTCCCCTGCTCATGCTCTGTCTCACTCTCTCTCAGAAATAAAAATATTAAAAAGAAGTAATGTTGGGGCGCCTGGGTGGCGCAGTCGGTTAAGCGTCCGACTTCAGCCAGGTCACGATCTCGCGGTCCGTGAGTTCGAGCCCCGCGTCGGGCTCTGGGCTGATGGCTCAGAGCCTGGAGACCGTTTCCGATTCTGTGTCTCCCTCTCTCTCTGCCCCTCCCCCGTTCATGCTCTGTCTCTCTCTGTCCCCCCAAAAATAAATAAACGTTGAAAAAAAAATTTTTTAAAAGAAGTAATGAATATGCCCTTGGATTGCGTGATTCAATTAATGGAGACAGGAGAATAAAATGAGCACCTTGGGAAGAAATGTGTCACGGAACCAGAGGATCTAGCAGGTCTCTGTGTATCGGGAATTTGGGTCATGCTAAAGGCCTTCCGCACGAGGGAAGGCTGGACACTCGAGCAGTGACGGGCCACGGGGGAGCCACCTCGGGAAGAAATAGTACCCTTCCTCACGCCAGCACGGCAGCAGGAGAGCGAGACTAAAAAGAGTTAGAAGACGAGACAGGATAATGCTTTTATACTGTGGGGTTTGGAAGGTATTCTCAAGCAAGATACAAAGCCTGAAGCAGTAGAGGGCAAGAGGACAGATTTGCCCAAATAAAAGTTAAAATCTTTGATGCCGCCGAGTAAAAAATTAAAAACCCACGACCAGGCAGATAGAAATACTTGCAACATGTGTAACAGCAAACTGTTGGTCTCCAGAGTACCAACTAAGAGCTATAAAGCAGTTCGACACAACCATGTAAAAAGGACAACGAGACCTAAGCCGCGGTGCACAAAAGAGATGTGATTGGCCGA